GAAAAAAACAATTATTCATCTTAATAAAAGGAAGTTAGGGTGAACGAGTTTTTACAAAGAACCGCTGGTTGTGGGTAATGTTCACAAAATAGCTGTATGATGTTGCAAAATTTATAATTTTTTAGTTTCAGCAGTGATTACTGGTTTTGATCATTTGTTAACAATAAAACCATTATTACGGCCTTATTCTCTGGCTCAATTACTGTAAGAAAAGTGAATTGGATTATCAAAATTACAGTTTTTAGGAAACCGATTTTTGGTCGCCTTTGCCCCATAGCGATGGTGGCCGCAACGCACCCTTGGTAAGGCAACGTCCCAGTCAAATTCCGGGTATAAACATACAAATGGTCATACTTACAAAAGGGAATTTTTTTTAACACCGGCACCCCGAGGGTTTATACAACCTTGTAGTTGAAAAAACAAAAAATTGAACAACCACCCTCAGCATGACGAAAAAGGTGTCATGTGTTACGTTTCCATTTAAATTATAAATTGAGGGATTTTCTCATTTGGATTTGAATCGAATTAAATTTCATTTGCAAAATCTACCTTCTCTGGTAATTTTTCGTTAAAATGATAACTTATTTTCTTTAAATTTATATTCCCAAAATTCTAGTTTTGTAATGAAACAAAGCAAAACGAAAATAATATTGTTTGATACATTTTATTCAAACCATAAATAGTTCAATTTTGGGCAATATATATTAATTTCAAAATAAATGTTGTTTTTTTCTGGCTCCGAGTGCTGTTAACCTCTAGGTCAATTCAGCACCCAACACATGCAGTTACTGGGTCCAAACCCATTCCGATACAACTTGATTTGTAAATATTTTTGTATATTAATCAAAGTTTCATGTTTTTAACGTTTAATAATTGAGTCTTTATTTAAAAAAGTTTGAAAAAATGTAAATTGCTAAAGAAAAAAATAAAAAGTAAAAAAAAGACGGACAGATAAAATTTTAATTTTATTTTAGATTTTTAATTAACATTTGAATATCGCGTATTTTCTCCTCTTGTCTTAATTACATCTCGAAGACGACTCGGCATACTTTCTGTCAGTCGGGACATGTCTCTTTGCTAGAGGTTAGCCCATTCTTCACACAGAGACCTTTCAAGATGTGGAGTGTATCACGAAGTGATGGACGTGCTCTTATTCGTCTTTTGTGGTTATCCCATAAATGTTCGAAGGGGTTCAAGTCGGGAGAACGGGCTGGCCAAGCTAAGACCCTGATGTCATGCTGATGAAGGTCGTTTGAACTATGCGAGGACATGTGGACGGGCATTATCGTGCATTTGAATAGGATTGTCGCTGATTTTATCGAGGATAGGCAACGCATGATGTTCCAAAAATTCATCCACATAGCGAGGCCGTCAAAGACCCTTCACGAACAACAACCAGCTCTGTGGGGCTCTCCATTGAAATTTCCGTCCACACCATCACTAAGCTAAGTTGAAAAGGTTGGCTATGGGAAAAATTACAAGCTTTTTGCCTTCTTCACACTCTTTCACGACCATCTAGAGATCGTAGAGCAAATCTACACTCATGTGTAGAAAGTACAGCCGATCGATCGTCTAAAGACCAATGGCTGTATTCTCGAGCAAATGGGAGCCGTGCAACTTTGTGTATTCTGGTCAACTACTTTTTCCCTTAAGAAGGGAAAAGCGATCATTCCATACTGATTTAGTCTTTTTCGAGCAGTGCGTTCAGAAATTTGGACACCTCGAACTTTCTGGAGCTGATGAATCGCTTGAACAACAGTAACGAGCCGGTTTCGCAAAATTCCCACAGTCAAAAAACGGTCATCCTGTGGTTCTGTTACCCTAGGGCGTCCAGATCCGGGCCTTCTATGGACCCAGTCTAATGGCGTCTCGCAAAATTTCGTAGGGAACTCCGATGGCAATAGCCGCATACCTGATGGAACGTCCATCATACAATAAGTGCCACACTACGCTCAGCATCCTCGGCACTAAGTGGCATTTTTAAGTTTAAAAGTTGAAATTAAGAAAAAGATGAAAACTAAACAGTTTATTTTTTCAGAATTCAAATGAGACTGAATAAACATTTTAAATTCCGTAAAAATTAAAAATTGAAAAATCCTTTATTTTTATTTTGGATTAAGGATTAAGTGTGTTTACATCTAATTGATATTCCCAATTGAAAACTTAGCATAAACAAATATTTATTGATAAAAACAATGAGGCAAATTAAGATCAGAATTTACTTTTATCGAAATAATAAAAAAAAATCAATTGGGTGGAATTTTTTGCCTCTCAGTGAATAACAAACCTAATGGGGTACTCAATACTCCGCCATCGGCCCTCACACTATACAGTCACGCTAATAAATACATTCCTTCTCAACAGAAAACTAACAATATTATGTACAATAAAACAAACCTGTTGTTTCCAAAAATCGGTACGGGGACCCAGATACTCGCTGTCGCGCTCAAGAACAATTCTCACATCGGCTGGCATTCCAACAAATTCTCTATACAGAGCAATTGCATGTGGGGCACATCGAGCAAACTTTGTTGCATGCCGTAGACATACGGGCCTGATCGGGTGATTAAGTTTGGGGGTGGGAAGTCCCGATCTCAGTCGCCTCGTTCGCCTTTCTATTTCCATTATGCATGTCTTTGTATAGCTTTATAGAAGAAATATACCTTTTTTCTTCTGTTTAGAAATATGTGCGTTTTCTATTTAATTCCCGAAAGAACCGTCTTATCTTTTAAATATTTGGCCAAGGAAATATTTCCATGGACCTTGAGTTGTCACCCAACGAAGCACGAAGCGAGTTCGGTGATTCTTTTAGAAGTGTTTTTTTTTTCAATTTTAATTTTAACAGAGAAATGAATAACATTCACTTTATGAAGAAGCCATTTCATTATCTTGAGGTAATGAGAAAGCGTGGAATAAAAACTTTTCATTGTTCAAGCGTGTTTATACTATAACAATACTACATTATTATATTATATATTATTATTAACTATTGTAATTATTATTAATTTTTAAGGCCGTTTTAACGTCTAAGGCCATTTACGCCCTAACGTTTAAACTTCCTATCTTATTCGGAAATTGTGAGATTATATATATATATTATGCAGGGTGAGCGACCAAGACCCGAGGGGTTAAATGCCTGGGTAGACTCGTACACCATCCCTAAAAGGTCCGGGACTTTGTCGGCTCACGTGTCCTGCATGAACCTCTTGGTCCTGTTCACAAACTCCAAGATTTTGGACCATTTAATCTCGGGGAGTATTTGGTGATGACCGCTCCTTCAAAGATTTCAATCTGGACCTAGCATACCTATCACACTCGGTAGTGCCTTGCCTTTTCTTCTTTTATTTCGCAAAAACGGCAAAAGGGATCTGGTAGAATACCCATTACGGAGAGGTGTCTTCTCAGTGGACAGTGGCCCGTCAGGATACCTATCAGCCTCCTAATTCCCTTCATTGAGATAGAGAATAGCCATTTCGATTCTGCCGGTTTGATCACCTTAACGAACTCTTTCGATTGCCTGTGTCCGGGGATAAATTCCACTCCCTAAGGAATTGTTTCATCACCCCAGTTATTAATACTCTCTTTCGCTGTGCTCATAGAGTGAGGTAATGAGGCCCGACAAACGCAGTATTAGAACCTTCTTTGCCCAGGCCATCCGCCTTTTCATTGCCATGGTGTCCTTTATGTGCTAGTAATCAAATAAGGGTTACCTTGTTCTCAAATCCCCTTGAGTACTCTCAACACGACACGCAAGAATGGCACAATTACGCAGAAAACAAAATTTTGAGTCCTGAAGATGATCTCAATAAAGATCGAAACGTTGGCACGATAAAGAAAATGTTTTCTTGAAACCTACATCACACCAGACCGCATCTCACGATTGCCGAATAATCATAGACTAACGGTCACTAATCATCACACACCTTCCTATCTTAGGTTAGCTATATCCCTTCCATTCATTCATAAACCAATCCATCCTATTGCCATCCAAAGCATTAATTTATCCTTTTAAAATGCTTAATTTGGAAAGTCAAATGTATGAAAAAAAAAATACATTTTAAATTATAAAATTTATTCTTGCTCTTTAATTAGAACTTCGAATTTTTTGTTTCATAATTTAAACATTTCCCATAGGCTTGTATGGCCAATAATAATAGTAATAATAGAGTCAGACTAGTCTTAGCATGATTATAGGTTTTTTCGTTATGCTTTTATTCTTCCATTCAAATACTATAAATAAACTAATGCTACTTAAAAAATAATTAAAAAACAAAATAATACTTCTTTTTCTTTATCTTTTTTTTGTTTTTGTTTTTGTTGAGTTCACACACCCCGTTATGTGGCTGGGTCGTTAGTATCCCCCTATTATTATTAATTTTTAAGGGCGTTTAACGGCTAAGATCATTTCACGCCCTAACATCTAAACCTTCTATCTTAGGTTAGCTATATCCCTTCTGAGTGCTATAAAGCTTTGACTCCAAACATTCACTCATAAACTAATGGCTTTAATTTATGCTTTCAAAATTCTTAATTTGGAACGCCAAATGTATGCAAAATCCCATTTTAAATTACATATAAAATTTATTTCTGCTTTTTGATTAGAATTTTGAATTTTTGTTCCATAATTTAAACATTTCTCATAGGCTTGTAGGGCTATTAATAATAATAATAATAATAATAATGGAGTCAGACTAGCAACATTCTCAGCATGAGTATAGGCTCATCGTTATCCTTTTATTCTTCCATTCAAATATGATAGATAAACTAATGCTACATAACAATAATAAGAAACAAAAACCCAATCGCACTTCTTTTTTTTCAGTTTATTATTCAGTTTTTTCATTATTTTATTTATTATTATTTATTATTTATTTATATTTATTATTTTATATTTAACTATGCGTAAAATATGTAATGCTTTAAAAATAAACACTGTATTATTATTATTAAATGCGAATAAAANTATTTTTCATTTTATTCAGTTTTTTTTCAGTTTATTATTCAGTTTATTACCACAACTCTCATTCAAACATTAGCGGGCAAACATTCAATGGTATCAATGTTATAAAAATTTGAGAAAAGGCCTAAATCTCATTATAAATTCCAATAAATTTGAGAAAGCTACTATTATTATTACTATTATTAATAATAATATACAATTATTTAATCGTTTGATATTTCCATCGAAAACGTAAATCTTCTTCTTTTGGTTGAATCAATGTATTTGCTCTCGAAATAAATTTATAAATAAATGATGATAATCTGTTAATGCTGTTACATTACTGCTGAAGATACCCAAAGAAATTTAACATAAATCCAATTCATGAAGGTAAGTTTAGCGCGAATTGCTCTTCTTGCTAGCTTCGACGTTTTTGTTGTTTACATCTTAATTCCGTAAAATTTTTGGGTCCTGTAACAAAATAAATTAAATTGTAGCATATAATGTTATTCTTTAGTATCAATCATGTGCTAAATGGCCCAGTTCAAATCAAAAGCGCATGGTACGTGATTTTGTGAACTTTTTAGTTAGTAGTCTTATCATCGTAGTGATTAAAAGTGTTCTATTTGTATATGTTCTATGTACTGTCAACTCGTTTAAGTTGGCCATGGTGTAAAATTAAAAAAACTTACTGCACAATTCTTGGAATTTACTTTTAGCGCCACTCGTCAAGTTGACGTGGGTACAATTTTTTGTTCCACTCTCGTAAGGCCGCTTTTCCCCTATGTTTCCTCTTTAAAATGGAAATATACAAATATAAATTGCTGAGATTGTTCCCTTCGACCACACACACACGCGCGCACACACACACACACACACACACACACACACACACACACACACACACAAAACGAGTTAGATAGTGAAAAATACTCACGCAGGGCCGTAATTGCAAACGTACAGTTTAGTGTATTTATCGCCCTCTTTATAGTAGATATAACCGCAGCCGACCAGGTACGTGTCAGCCCAGACAACCTGAAAACCAAAATTAAATACTTTTTATTAAATACTTTACCTAGCAAAAACAATTTTACGATCTATCGATATTTCTTTGTTCAATTGAGCTTAATCAAATTTTGCAAATATTTACATTGGTACTTGCGTCAAGTAGCACAATTGAGATAAGTTAGAGTAATAATAATAATGACAATTAATTAAGGTTTTTAGTTGAGATGAAAAAAAGTAAATGGCACGAGAGGTGTTCGAACCCACGACCTTCGGCTAGATACGCTAGATACCTGAGCTCCTCGATCCACTCGGACATCAACTCCCCATCTCAACCCCACCTTATGAGTTTCCCTCCTTTTGCCATTTTTCAAATGTCGTGTAATAACTAAAAACCCTAATTAATTGTTATGTAGTAATTGGTCAAGCGGACCACGAAAGTAGTGAAATAATAATAATGTCTTTATTAAAAAAAATTAAATTAGTAAAAATAAAAAATAAAGAAATAATCATCAAGTAACGGTCTCTAAACACCACACATTATTCTAGTTAGTGAATATCTACACTGTGAGGCAAAAAAAGTGGCCACCCTTAATATTTTTAATTATCTATTGGACAATCTTGTATTGATTATCTACCAAAAATATTTGGTCTATTTTAAGGGATTAGAGTTAAGTAAAGAACACATAAAATCTCTCTTGTGTTTAAAATTGGATTTTGTAAATAATCAATCTCTTCTTTGTTGGTTTTTCTGTAAACCTTCTTTCTAACGTTCCTATTGTTTTATTTTTTTAAGTGGTCTCATTTTTAAGTTTCGAATTTGTTTGAGTGATGGTTTAAGTGATACAGATTCGGCTAAAATCGTAGTAATATTGGAAGATGGAAGAAGTCAATCGTATGTGGTCAGGGTGCTTAACATTCCCAGAACAACTGTCCGAAGGGTCTTCCATCGCTACCAAGATACCGGAGGTTATTCAAGAAGGCATGGATCAGGTCGCCATCGTGTTATATCATGAAAAATGATCGTTTTATTGTTTGGAACGTAGTCCGTAATCGAGTTTTCTTTTAAATTATATTCATATTATTCTTATTTCACATTATTTCATTATACCCCTTGCTCTCTACATCCTCCAAATCACTCTTTCTTTTTTTTACAATAACGGGTATCTAGGGTCGCTTTCTGGCCAGAAGGTGCCTGTGCGTTATTATTGTATGATGCTCTTTTTATTTTGGTTGTTGTTGAATTCATGTGATGAGGTTTTTATTGAAATTCACAACTTCTTTGTTTCAAGTTTTATTGCCCAAACATATTGAAGGCTTGTTGGAGCCCGTAACTTACTCTTATTCTTGTATAACCCATGAGTGCCTTTTTAGTATGGCGTTTTCCTTCTTCGACCCGTTGTTCGTGGACCAGGGGCCAAAGTCTTTCTTAATCTGCCATAGCTTGGCAGGGTTACTTCTATTTTTTTGATCCCTGCGGTTCCTCTATTTTTCTTTTACAATATTTAAAACAAATATTTTAAATCCGTTGGGCATGTAGGTTGGGAAGCGTCTTGGGGCTTTTCAGCGGCTTCTTTGAGCGCCCTATCTTCTTATTGACGACCTTCTTCCCATTTATGTCGATCCCTTTCAATTACTCTTTTGTTTTATTTATTAGAGGGTGTACGAAGGCTCTTCTCTTGAGATTTTGGACCGCACTGAGCGATACGTACTGTAAAAGGATTATATTTTTGATATCGCTCAGTGCGAAGGATGTGGTGTTTAGTTCCGCTGTGTGAACGCTCGCGGTTATTATGTTTAAAGTTTTAGTTTTGAGAATTAGAACAAGATACCAAAAATCTTTCAAATTCTTAACACTTTTGAATTTAATAATCAAACTTTCCATGATGTTCTTCCTTAAATAAGTTAAACATCTTTGAAAACATCATAAAACAGTCTTTATCAAACCAATTAAGTATTTTTACCAGAATAATCATTTGCGGAGTTTAATAATTTAAGTTTTTTATGGGCTGAATCGATAAGATAGTTTAAATTTTTATTAGGAATATAAGAGGAAGATGAATATCCGAAGCCATTTTTCTATTTATTCAGTAAAGATGTTAGGAATCTGTAGTTTTCGTTTCAATTGTGAGAGTGGTATAGTATTCACACCTATTGTTTTAATATTATTGCATTTAGAAGCTAAAGATAGGTGATCCTGAAAAACCCCCGGCACCGTAATAACGGCATAAACGTAAATTCCTAAAGTCATTCAACATTTTCAGGTTAAAATATTCAAAAATGGAGAGTAGTTCTTTACAAAAGAAATTTTGAGAGTTCCAATTAAATTGAACACACTATTCACACTTATTTTGCTTTAATATTATCGCAGTTAGTAGCTATAGATTGGTGATCCAGAAAGAGCAAATTAAAAGAGTGAATTTCTAAAGAAAACTACCTACCAATGTCAGAACATGCAACATTTTCAGGTTAAAATATTCAAAAATGGAGAATAGTTCTTTACAAAAGGAATTTTGAGAGTTTCAATTAAATTGAAAATGTAAATTTAGCACAAGGAACTAGATTGGGACAAACGGAATTTGCGAATTACTCACCCTACCGGCATAATCAAATAATATATATTTCTGAAAAATGGTAGACTATTTTAAATAATTTCTCAAATTATATAAACTACTCCAGTCCTTATAATATTGAGATACTCTGGCTCAATAAATAACTATTTGGAACATATTTAACGTCGATTATATCATAATTAAGGATTTATTAAATTGTATAATTTTTTTTTCTAATCATAACTTTTTTATTTCAATAGTATTTCCCTCCCTAGCTATATTCCTTTTATTACTTTTTAGGGCAGGAACCTATGTATGTATGTTAATTAACCTATGTATGATGGGATAATTTTAAGGCATAACGTTTCAGCAGCAGGATTAACAAAGGTGTCGGTTTTGTAAATTATATTTGGAAAATTAACCTCAGAAAATACGAATTGTAGAATAATGTAAAGCAAGTAACATTCCGTATGTTCTAAACTACTCGAAAATAATTTATTTTAATTTTATGATTGATATCTGACAACATGATCATCGAATATTGTTTTAATGCCCATTTAAGTCCACAGTTCAAGGCATATCATACTCTAAATTTGGTGGAGTTGGTTGTTTGTCTTTACCTGTACCTACGATCCGATAGCATACTCTACAATTATTAATAATGGTGTGTGTGTGTGTGTGTGTGTGTGTGTGTGTGTGTGTGTGTGTGTGTGTGTGTGTGTGTGTGTGTGTGAGCTGTTTAGTATCCTGTTGTGGTCTGCAGTATGGGAAATTTTTCGTTTGACCGTCTATCATCATCCTGCTCCACATCCTAGTTGGAAGCAAATAATTTTTAAAACATAATGGCCATTTGTGATCCTGGTGTACTATCATCCCGTTTCTACCAAAAACCTTCTTGCAAAACGAATTTGTACAAAAAATATTTTTCCCCTCATTATTACCAATAATGAGCTTTAGTTTTATTTGTCTCCAAGAAATATTAAATATCTCATATTTTCTGTGGTTCAACTAACCTGCGTGTAGTGTCCGACCTCGAAGGTGAAATATCCCTGGTACAACGAGACTTCGTCGTACCAACTTTTTATTTGTTTTGGGAATTCAGGCTTGTCCTTGGAATTGGTCTCATTTGGAGAGCTCCAACTAATAGCCATATTTTGCCCGACGTTGAATCTTTCTGAAGCGTCAAAAATTTGTAAATCGATAGATGTAAAAAAAAGTCGCACTTACCGACTTTCCTTTGTTCATAAGTGTTGTGATCGAATGTGCAATTCTCTGCCCACTTCTGCGCACCATTCTCTAACTCTTCGTCCCAACTCTAGTAGAATAAGTGAGATGACTAAAACTTTTGAAAATTATACAATGTATGTTACCATTTCCAACATGTAAATTGCTGATGGCTGGCCTGATTGTTTCCCAGCAGCAACCTTCGACCTTAGTTTGTTGTGGACGTTCACAATCTTCCTTTTATCCGTACAAGTCAGATTTCCTTTTCCTGGAATATGTTTAAACCTTTTAGTGCCAATCTGGGCATTACAGAGAGCATCTTATATGAGAACCAGTGTTCATTCTTATTTTTGAGAGCAAAATTTCCTGGTAATGTAAAATATTAATAAAATATAATACAGTGATTAAATAAAATTAATTATATTTTTTAATGTGTAATTAAAACTAAATTAAAACATCAGGATGCTCCCAAAACCTAAGAAACCAAATCACCTTCCTAGCTCCTACCGACCCATCAGTCTTTTGCCCATTATTGGCAAAATACTGGAAAAGCTCCTATTGAACCGCTTGACCAAGGAAATTCCTACAAACACAATTCCCCATCACCAATTCGGCTTTCGGAGTTGCCACTCAACTGTANGATATTGGCGTAGCTGCGACTGAGTTTACATGTATCTGTTCTGTAATTGATGCTGTGTTTATCTCTGTTGATATAAACCATTTCTAAGAAATTACGTTTATATTTGTTTTGCTCTGTATGTAATATTTTTACAAGTTGAAGTCAAAATTGTGTTGGTGTTCAAAGTGGTGGGTAGCGAGTGGTGTAGGATTTTGCTTGAGTTTTTTGCAATCATAGATGTGTTGTTTTACTCTCTTGTCCAGATATTGGGATGTAAGACCGATGTAAGTTGCCGGACAGTTTAGACAGTTGATCTTGTAGATTACGTCAGATTTATTTGTCATTGGTGTGGGATCTTTAACTTTGGAAAAAAGTGTTTGGATTGTTTTATAATTTTTGAAAGCTATTTTGAAGTTATCAGACAAGAGAAAAGTGTTTAATATATGTGAAAGGCCTTGAATAAATGGTATGGAAATGTATGCTTGTTTGTTTGTGTTTGATATGCTTAATGTAGTATTATTAGTAATAGTGGAATGTGTTAGTGTTGAGTTGTAGTTGTTCATGTTGTTAAAGAAAATGTTTTTCTGAAACCTACATCACACCCGACCGCATCTCACGATATCTGAATAACTATCGATTAACGGTCACTAATCTCTACATATTTATTTAAAGTTCACCCCACAAACGGAACTAGTATATGTATCTTGAAATAGAAGATTTTTAAAAATTTTCTCATCTTTAATTAATAAAGGTAGCTTGGATAGATTTTATTTTTTAACAACAATGGCTTTGCGAACCGGTGGCATCATCATCACGGAAAAGATTGTATGACGTTTAATGGAACGATTGTATTATTTATCGACCTTTCCGACTTCTATCAATCAAGTTAAATTACCTTTTGTAAATTTAATCGTCCTACTCTTGGATTTTGGTTAAAATTAAAGCTTTTAATTCCTTTGAAATTTATCCATGAAGTGTTTTGAAATAAAAAGCAAAACGAACAAATTGCTTGATGCATTTTATCCAAACTATTTTCTACGAACTTCGATTTCTGGAAACATGTATGTACACAGGGTTTACTTTTCAAAATAAATTTGTGCTCAATGTTTAATTATCTACGTATTTTAGAAAATTTATTCTTATCTGTTTCGTGTACATAATACGTAAAGTTTTGAAATTTTTTTAAATCATTCAATAATGGCAAATTTCATCTTTTGGTTACAAATGTTTTTCGTTTTAAAATTATGTTTGATGAAACTATATATTTTTTTTTAAATTATAGCACTACAATATTATAGAATTATGAAAATTTCAGTTAAAAGTTTTTTTGGTTTTTTTTATAGACGACTAATAACGAATGAAAAGTGGAAAAAAATAAGAAGTTCACAAGTTCTACGAATAAACAGGTTAACAATAAGTCCAGAATACAAACGCTATTACAAAAATAAAAAACATACTTGACTACGTAGCGTATAGGACTTACTTATTACTGTCTTGCCCTCGCAATCGGCCATGCTTAGCCCAATTAGAGAAAGAATGGCGACGTATGAAATTAGCCATTTTGCCATGTTGAACAACCTGAAAATAATATTGTTTAAGTAGTTTTAATTAGATAGGATTTTAACCGCTATTTATCCTATCCTTTCAATGAGTCTGGATTATTGAGTACCCCACGATCCTCCATTACAGTAGTTACAAACTATATGTAAGAGCGACATGGCTATATGCCTAAATGGGCAAGGACAAAACTAAAAGGAATTTAAGGCTTTTTTATATATATAATTAAAAATGGATGAAAATTACAGTACATGATCTCACTAATGAAGTTATTCAAGAGGAAAACAGCGAATAGGTCGTGCTCTTATGGGTACCTGTTACTATGTTGCCTGCCGTAGCCATTCTAATGGGAATTGGTCATTGGATTGATCTTAATGGCTGGGGAAGTAATAGTACAATTGCCGCCTTGTTGATCAAATCAGGCGATTCAATTATAGGAAAGATGTCGATACTAACAGTTGGTTTACTATGTTATTATGAATAGAGTGGCAAAAATTCCTATGATTTTATACAGCAAATACAAAGAAAATTTGATAAATGTACTTAAGAATAAATGATATTGTTTTCTTTGGCGAATGTTTGTTAATTAAAACAAGACGTTTAATAGAATGTTATTTTTCGAAAAGGTACATACCTGTTCTTTCAGTTGGTTTACTATGTTATTATGAACAGAATGGCAAGATTCCTATGATTTTATATAGCAAGCTGTACTGCGGGGGTGGGGGCCTATTGATCTTGTTCAAATTCTTTACAAACATCCAGAAACAGAGAAAGAGAGAGAGAGAGTCAGACAGACTGACAGACAAACTGGAATAGGAAATGAAGATCAGATTGCATTGAGAAGAATGAGAGAGAATGAGAGAGAGAGAGAGATGAGAGAGAGAGAGAGGGAGGGAGGGAGAGAGAGGGAGAGTGAGAGAAGGAGGGAGAGAGAGAGAGAGAGAGAGAGAGAGAGAGAGAGAGAGAGAGAGAAAGACAGTGAGGGGTGAGAGAAAAGGAGGGAGGGAGAGAGAGAGAAAGACAGTGAGGGGGTGAGAGAAAAGGAGGGAGGGAGAGAGATAGAGAGAGAGAGGAGAGATAGGGAGAGAGAGAGAGGGAGGGAGGGAGAGAGAAAGAGAGAGGGTGAGAGAGATGGGGGGAGGGAGAGAGAGAAAGAGAGAGGAAGAGAGAGGGTGGGAGGGGTGAGAGAGAGATAAGGAGGGAGAGAGAGAAAGATAGAGAGAAAGAGAGAGAGAGAGAAAGAGTGAGAGGGGTGAGAGAGGAAGAGGGAAAGAGAGAGAGAGGGGTGAGAGAGAGGGATAGAGAAAGACAGAGAGGGGGTGAGAGAGAGGAGAGTGAGGGAGGGAGGGAGGGAGAGAGAGAAAGTGAGAGAGAGGGGCGAGAGAAGGAGGGAGGGAGGGAGGGAGGGAGGGAGAGAGAGAAAGAGAGAGTGAGTGGGAGTGAAAGAGTGATAAGGAGAAAACTGAGTGAAAAGAAAACATAAATAAAAGAACGGAGCGTCGGTGATCATCGGTGGTAAAGGTCCCTGATTCGAATCTAGCGGCTCAGAATTCGAATAGAAACAAAAGGTCTTTTTTTTAAATGCCAGCATCCCGAGGGTTTATATGTCCTCTGCTGTTGCGAAAAAAAATCGTCTGATCCTTCCATAATTGACTCGAATGGAAAAAGAAAGTCAGTTTATGGATAAAACTATGTTTTGTTATTAAAAAAAAATATTATTTCTTCTTCTTTTTAGAAGTTTGAGCGTTTTTATTTATGCACTGTTAAAATCAATGTCGCTGTGACCTGTTTGATCAAAAATGCGCCATGGCCCTGGAGTGGTCATTCGAAGAAGGTAGGTCGACTTTCTTTGACGAGGAATGTTTATATATTATATAAAAATTCAACCTAACAAAATAATTTGCAAACACCACAGTTCATTCACACTACCCCAGAGTACTCGAAATTCCTCGGGGTAATTGTGGATAAGCCATCTATTCACGCAAATAAATACATTCTTCCGCTGGCTTTGAACTCGGGATCTTCACGTTACAGGTTCAGCGCCGTGTCAACGTTTTAACCTTTACCAGTTTATAATTCTACTTTTCACAACTTTATTCATTAATGCTCCCTTATCTCACAAATTATTAATCCTAGCGTAAATTTGATTAAACCAATCAAAAGACCATTGAAAACCCTATGAGTTCGATTTTTTATCTTAATCTTAAGCAAACCAAAGTCAACATCATATAGATGATAAACTTTTATGAAGTTGTAAAGCTCTTGTCTAAAGTTAAAGTAAAATATTTTCTCTACTAATGAGCTGTAAAGTTGTACTTAATTTCTCAATGGTCGGTCACCAACGTAAACGTTTAGTTATTAAAAATCTCATTTTTCGGTTACAAACAATTTAAAATAATTAGTCATTAAGATTTCTATTGAAGTACAATGAAAGCAATAGAAAGTAAACAAACAAAAAATACTTGTTGGAACAAAATTAACCATAATAAAAAAATTTCAACTTGTTTTTCACCTTGAACCTTTTTCAAGAAGGTTAAAATTCCGACTCATCTTTTTGATTATTTTATTCAACTTATTACATGTTCAGTTATCTGTGAAGGCAAAAAACAAGCAGGCAACTAAGTTTAATCGAAATCCATTTAGTCGTATAGGAACAAACAAGGCCAACCTTTTTATATTTATATTTGTTCAAGAAATTTTTCATTTCCACGTCATATAGTTGAAGATTTATAGTGCCATTGTTATTTCACTGGTGATGTCATATCTTTTTTTAATTAATTCAAGCAGTTGTTTACACCGTAGTATGAAAAAGAGCGACAAATAGTTTATGTTTATCTAGAAGGTTTACCGGAACATTTCTGCATTCTTGACGATATTTGTGTTTGTTATTGTTTTTATACGCGTTAGAAATCCATTTTGTTACGATGAGAAAAATTTCTAACCACGTTAGTTGAACCAATTGTACACGTCATTACAGTTTGACATCTGGTTTGGTAGCTCTAAACTAAAATGAGTAATACTTCTAAAAATTTTATCAATCAGTTGTATGTTCGTGCTGTGTTTTTGTTTTGTTTTTCCTGGCAGATCTACAATTGAAATTTTCTGTCCGTGCAAAATAGACGTAGTTGTCGTTAGTATTGTAAAAATAAATTATTTTTCTTTTTATATAATATTTTTAAATGAGCACCAAAATCTTGACGGTTTCCCGTCACGGTTTTAGAAAATTTGCAAGTAGAGCAACTAGCAAAAATTTAAATGAAATTTCATATTTTATATTAAGAATTTTAATGCTATTTCAATGTTTCTTCCTAGGCATTATTTCGTTACTTATCCATCAGTTCGTATGATAAAATGTGATGGGGGGAAAAGCGGCTTGATATCTAATATCAAATAGATCTAGTGGGATTAACAGTAATATTGTATAAGTGTAGGTTGAGGGCGGCATAAAAACATACGGCAATCTCAGAGTAGTCATGAGGATTGGCTTTTCTTCTCCAATTAGCGAGAGCAAAGGATTAATATAGATAATTATATACAATTCTGACAGAACTGTCAGACCAGGAGGCAGTGGGGAGGGAAACCAACCAGTGTTAGAACTCTCTTTTATTAGTTGGGAGGGTCATAGGAGGTCACGAGGCAACGTCGTTTTAGATGGCATGGAGGATTGATTATAAAGTGTGACGTTGAAGAAAAAGTTTGGGCTAGTTGGTTAATGTGGAGGGATAGTTTAGAATGGAACTGAGGAAGAATCGGATTCTTTACGAATTGAATTTTAAGGTCTTTATGGATCTTGATTGGATTGGACTAGTGACGTAGTAGGGAGCGTTGAAAATAAGGCGGAACTTTTGGATTGAAAGGATGTTGGAGTATTTGGCCGTGCACCACATTTCACATCGGTCTGAAGGGTGCAATGTAAGCAGTTAGTTATATGTAGTTAGTGTTGATTTTGTTGTTGAGTCCCAGTAGTTGAGTAGTCCATATTTTATGGTAAGTTCTTGTATTTTTAATCATGTATGTACAATCTAGGTAAGGCTGCTATCGTATTCTAAGTAAAGCCCAATGTAGCTTGGGTTGGATACTTGTTTAAGTACAGTGGTGGGCAGGTCTGACACTTTGCTCGTTCAACCTGATCTGCTACCGAGTGCTCCAATCGATAATGATGTTCAGGTGTTGGATTAGCTCACCATCCCACATGAAAAAATCTATAAATGAGGTATCTAAGCCGAAACAAGACACTCTCCCTCCGAAGCTTGCTCTCTCTCCATAAAAATCGAACAAAGGTCTAGCCCATTAGTCTACATTTTTGCAAACCATAATTATCGTATACAAAATCCAACTTCGAACTTATCACTGGCACTGACTCACTCATGACCAACTGCGAAGTATCAACTCAGCTCAATTGCTGACTACTCCGTACTTTTGGTAGCACTGACCATTTGCAAATTTCCCCAGAGTGTCCTACGAGGGGCTTTCTTCCCCGTGGTTACTACACCCGCGGGCTTCACCATTTTGCATGTCTTGACTTTCCTTCGGAAAGGATTCTCGAGCGTCCAAAGAAGACACGAAATCTGTTCCTTCAACTTTTACACATCCTCATTCTAATTGTTCGATTCAGTTAATACAATAATCTTTAGGCAATTAATTATTAATTAGTTGCACAACTAATTACCTATATAAAAAATAGAATACTAGAAAGGAAAACCGGGCGTTATTGTATGTTATTGTATATAGTATGTTTATATTAATAGTTTTTTATGATATACTCGCTTGCAAACATGATTGGCCGCTACAAATACGTATACAGGTTTAGTAATAACAAGTAATTTACATGTTGTAAATAAGTCAACCGCAACTACTGTAATTTATATAATCGATAAGAAATAACGTTTTCAACCAAGAACAAAACAGTATTACAATTTATCAAAGTCATTCTTCTTTAAGAATATAAAGAACTCAGAGTTCTTAGTTAGAGGGGGGGATTAAAAACTCAGGGTTAAAATTCTTCCAATTTTGGCGGCCAACGTTCTTCCCTTGTGACGATGTCCTTTAGTCCCGCCGCTGCAGCTCGAAAATTGGGCTGTCCAGGATGATATATTCCCATGTTTGGGGGAATTATATTACAGCGGATGTCCGAAGCGTTCGATCCCATTGACAACGAAAACGATTTTATAATTATATTGATAGTGAGTGTATTTATTAGCGTGAATGTGTAGGGTGAGAAGGCAAATGGTGAACTGAATACCACCCTATCAACCCTCAAGAAGTCTAGTTAGTATATATGTTGTTTTTTATGTGGAGGAATATCAAGTACTTTATCACCCTACTTGAGTGAATGGTATATAAATAAGAACGAATGTATTATTGGAACACCAATATGTGTAGATTTTCCAAGTTTCTGGTTCAAATTTATTTTCAAATTTACCCAAATTCTTCGACTTTCTTTTTTTTAAGTGACTAAAATCGCTTTTCCCAATACAATAATAATTCAATAATTTATACACAAATAATTATTAATAAGTTATGCACCTAATTAGCTATACAAAAAAAATGTCTTGCCAAGTCGTTTTTAAATGACCAAACAATTATTGAAGCCTGTGTGGATTTACCAAAAGTTTGAATATAAAACAACGATTACAATAACAAGTCATGCAATTAATATTTGTTCAAGAATATTTAATTCATATCATAGCAGATTTAAATGGGTTATATTTTATTAATTTTATATCATATAATCATTTCTTATTTATTAATTTTATATAAAAATCAGTTGTAAAGCGAATTAAAAAAAAATAAAAGCATTTAGTTCCTTCATCAAGCTTTCCAGAAATTCACTAATTTCGTGGTCCGCTCGACCAATTAATTGTAATATATTAATTGGTCAAGCGGACCACGAAATTAGTGAATTTAATGATTTAAAATGAAGTATACTTCACNAAATATAATATTAAAATAAAATATAATAAATCATTAGAAATAATTTGAAAGTCCAGATGAAGGGATATTCCTGGAAAACTAGACGAAGGATCTGAGCGTTTTTTTTTTCAAATTTGTCTAATCCCTGACTTTTTACATAAAATTGTAATGTTAAGGCTGATATCAATCAAATTTAATACAAGCAGCCATTTAAAGTTTTGCGCGACAAAGCTCGGCAAGCAGTTTCTTTATGTCAAAAATTGTTAATAATACTGTCAAGTTATATTATATATTTTACTTCGTAAAATCGGATTTACTATTGATTGTTAATAATTGTATGGTTTGTAAATTAACCCAGTAACTTGTTTGTTCCAACTGGGTTTTTCTCACAAATTTGCTGGTACTTTCAATTTAATTTGAGGTTGGTGAGCGAGTGTGATATTGACTGTGATTTGCCAGATATACTTAATAATAATAATAATAATAATAAGTAATATTCCTGTTTACATTATTTTCAAATGAGCAATACTTTGATGTCTCGACGAAGTCCATGTGTATTTAAGAAAAAAATCAACATTGCGAAATATATTTAATTCAAAAACATCATATACATTATACTTTTTATAATTCAATTTATTTACAACATAATATAATATAAACACATAGTATATAATATTATACCCACTATATTTATGTAATTTAGATACACTGTTGGATTCCTCAATTGACGCCCAATACACTCCTGTTCAACCTTGTTCAGTAATTTTTGACAATACAGGAAACCATTATCAAAATTACCTATTCAGTATTCTTAAAATAATTAAAATAAATTTATTTATTCATAATATTTATGTAACATAAGAAAAGGACACATTTTCTCTCATTTCAACATTTAAAACCTAAAAATTCTAACTTTTCATGAAATGCCATCGGTAATTTTTATAACTAATTTTACTTATATTAATAATAATAGTAGTAGAAGTAATTGGAACATGGTTGACTCAGGTATTTTTGGTTCCCTGAAAAAAATATATTAATAAATTTAAGTGTTAATTAATGGATAGATGGTTAGTTTTAGTTTTTACCTTACACATTTCTCAGTAACAATTTGGTAAAATTAGAAGTTAAAATGACAGTATTTAAAAGAAATTTTGCATTTTAACTTTGTGATTAGGGGATTAAAAGGCTGGTAATAGATGGAAATACCTGCGCAGGAGCCCCTTATGCATAGAAAGGTTGCTTGATGTGTTCCACATATTAGAGGCGTATGGTCCATGCCTTGGCTCCATATAGAGAGCGTGTAGGCATGCCGCCGGATTTAAGAATGGTTCTAGAGCACAGCAATCGTTTTCTGGGTCCCTTGTTCCATTTTCTTAAAGGAGTGGGGGTATTTTACCATATATAAATATGTTTTGTCATTAAGTATTTTAAAAAACAAGTTCTGATCTCGTTTGGTGTTCCGTTTTTTGTATGTTGAATGTGAATGCACTTACTAGCGTGAATTTGTAAGATGTGAGGGCCGATTGTGGAATTTTGAGTACCTCAGAAGTTTTATTATAGGTAGTATGTGTGTTGGAGGAATATCGAGTACTTCACCACCCTACTTGGGTGAATGGTATGTATGGAAAGAATGATTTTACGAATGAGTGAGCATACGTTAGGTGCTGTGCTGACCTATCCTTCGCCCTGGAGGGACTTCAGCGGTGAGACGGATCGATCGAGGCTCCGGACCATCAAAACACCGGAGTGGGCGATTTTCGCGATATGCTGCTGGAAGTTCTAGTTTCGGTTCTGCACATGCTTGTGCATATATGTGTAGAGTTGATCTTATATAAATCAATTCGAACCAGGATAAATCTAATAGTGACGATCTTGTTGAATTCATATCATAACCCTATCTCTTAACTGTTATTTGTAACACTCAAGGGTTATGTGTTTCTTCATTGGCAATTACAGACATGCTATGAACTATGGATATAACTTTTAATGAAGGTTATCTAAATTAAGGCAATAGTCTGTAGTACGGGACCAAAATTAAACTGCTGATAGGTGGTGTGTGTGTGGAACATATTTCACTGTATTTTTTAACCAGCGTTTTATAGAAACCAGTACAAATGTATACTACTAGAGTTTTTTGTTGGGGAGGGGAGGGATCAAAAATTTCAAGAGTAACGGTAGGTCAATTAGCCGAGTCTGACATTGTACCAATCAGCTACCGCGGTCCTCTTAATTGCAGTGCAGTTGATTAATTTTTAACAAAATATTATTCAGTGATATTGTTCATCAAAATCAAACGCAGTTGCTAAATGTAGTCAGAAAAACTTACGGCATAGGCCTGGATACGTTCGGGACGGCGTGGTTCCATGTTGTGCGCATGCAGGACTTCCGGATTTATAAGGAGGAAAGCCCCTTACATTTCCTCTGAAATAGTAAAATAGTAAATATTATATTATTAAATTGTCAACAGTTTGGGTGAACGTGGACAAATTTAAAGCTTAATACTAACGCAGGGCCGTAGTTACACACGTAGTATTTCGTGTACTGATTGCCCTTTAGAAAGTAGCTGTACCCGCAACCGACCAGGTAGGTATCGCCCCAGATGAGCTGAAAATTCAATCGGTTCAATCAAAAAAGAATTAGTTAAAATTGGAAAATATTATTTTTTTAATTACTGCACCTCCTCGAGTTTTACCATAACCCCCTCGTAAAGGCCGTTTGGCTGGAAAACGAATTTTCATATTTCGCGATTAATTTTTGATTGTTTTTATTATCTCTACTCTAATGTTTGCTCTTGTTGAACCAGTGAAGTTAATTTTCTCTATTATTTTAATCTACTTGAGTGCATGTAAAGGTCTCAGAGAAATTATTCAATTTAAGCCTTCTGAGTGCATAAAAGTGTAAGATATTTTTCTTTGTTATGCAAGCATATAAAATAAAGATGACAAAACATATGTAAACGCCTTCTGTGAAAGAATTTTTAGTTCAGGTGCTCTTTCCTAACTATCTTCGTGTTTCATTTTATTTTATACTAAGCAAAATTGCCTCTCTTCTCTATTTATCTTTCTCGCTCACTCTCTCTGTCTGTCTCTCTTTCTTTCTTTCGCTCTCTCTTTCTTTCTATATCTCTTTCTTTCGCTCTCTCTCTCTCTCTCTCTCTCTCTCTCTCTCTCTCTCTCTCTCTCTCCATGTCACTTCAAAAATGAAATTGAAACGGCGAAATTTGCTATTAATTTGGTCTGGCTGAACCATCTCTCTAATTATTCTATTCCACCTAACATTCAGCTCAAGGATTTTTAAGATGGTGGTCTGCTCGATGGTATGCTATGTTTCTTAGATTTTGTAGGTGTCAGTGTTTCAAAGTAGTATAATCGTTTCAGCGTTTTTTATTAATTTTTTTTCATCCCCCGAATTTTAAGCCTAGCTTAGAGCTATTAGTCTTAGAGACCAACTAACTGACTATTATTCTTATACACCTTAAAACACCACCACTCATGCTGCCTGAATACATATTTGTGGAAATTACGGCGGTTGAAATAAGAAATGGTCATTTTACCTTGTTCAAAGCACTCTATTTACTTGCCGATGATTTTAATATTGACTTCATGGTCTCCCTTAACAACAATAAAGAATGGTTATCTAATTTCTCGGCTTTTGAAGCATCAATTCGCCCCAGGCAAATAAAACTGCTAGCGAATTGGTACTTAGATCCAAAAAATTTCTGCTCTACAAGAAACTTACTCTTTCAAAGGCATTTTTGGACTTAATCAATAATAATCTAAAGTTGACGTCTAATAGTTGACTCTTCAAATTTAGGTGGGAACTTATTTTCCTTAATTATTCCCTTCTGAGATATGATTTTGTTGAGCGCTGCTCACTTCTGCGCGGAAACCTCTTTAATTTTTTTTTGCTCAGTGTCCCATTCTTTCAGAATTTCGGGTTCTCTTTTTGCGAACTGCAAGAGTTTTGAAAGCTTTTGACTGTTCAGCCCTGATTGGTTTTGTAAGGAGTTTACTGGAGTACAACCCATGGAACAATTTAATTTTTAATTTTATACTGTGAAGGTCGAATAGTTTTTATTTTATGTAATTGTGTTTATTATTCTTTGTATGTACATAATATTGAAGATGATCTTGCCCTGAAGATGATCTCAATAAAGATCGAAACGTTGGCACGATAAAGAAAATGTGTTTCTAAAACCTGCGTCATACCAGACGCATCTCACGAACTCCAAATAGTCGTGTTTTTTATTTTAATGAAGTTCTTTTGTCAATTGCTCACTCAAATATCCCAAATTTCATGACCCCCTTTTGTTAAAGTTCATTGTGCTAATGTTTTCAGTTACTACCTAAGAATAATTGTAAGTAGATATCACATATGTCTCTCTGTTTTTGGCTAATAAAAGAAAAAATGAAAAGTCATGTGCTACAACAGAGTTAAAAACTTAACTTGTACGTCATTTAAACAAACATGCAACCATGGAACATTACTATTTATTGTCATTTGCTGTTCCACTTGTCTATTCTTATCGGTCTTGATCTGTTACTCGAAAGCATTCATTTGTCAGGTTTAAAATTCAGGCTTATTTTACTAGGCTAAACTTAAAATTTATGGCAATTCCCCATTCTCTGTCTAGACCAAAAAAAAAAAAAAATAAATAAATAAATCTCCCTTACCTGAGTGTAATGTCCAACCTGAGTTGAATAATACCCTCTATAGTATCGGACTTCGTTGAACCAGTTGTTTATTTGTGTTTCGAAGTCCGGCTTGTCCCCAAGGCTGTTCGGATGCGGTGAACTCCATGTCATCGCTAAGTTTTGTCCGACTAGAAATCTCGCTAAAACGCCAGAAATTTGTAGTTCGAATTGGAAAAATAAGAAAATATTACACGCATAGGTCGTCGGACTTACAGACCCTCCGGTCGTTTTGTGAGTTGTGCTGGAAGATGCACTGGTCAGCCCATTTCTGGGCGCCCCTGGCGAGCTCGTCGTCCCAACTCTGGAAGAATTAAAGAATGAGTCAACGAAACACGCGTTTTTTAAAGATTCATTTTACCATCTCCAGCATGTTCTCAGCAGGAGACTGGCCAGGAACCTTTCCAAGGGCCACTCTCTGTCTCAGCCTATTGTGGGCATCCACAATGAGTCGCTTTTCTTCGCATGAAAGCCCTCCACTCTCTGAAATAATTCGATCATGAAAAATCCATCACCATCAGGTTAATCATATTTATACTGATGCATGACATACTCAATAGCTTGGCTCCACTGCAGGCACAGCTCAAGCCCATCAGGGAGAACACGATTAGGTATGATACTAGCTGTTTCACCATTTTGAACAAGCTGAAAAAAATATGATTTCAATATTAATTGTCGTGAAATTCAAATGTTAAACACAGGTTAAAAAGGTATTGGATAATTTTTCTTCCAAATACAAATGATGACTAAATTTTAGAGAAGTGTCAGTACAACTGTTGAAAGGTTGATGTTCTATACGGTTTTATCAACAGTTGGTACTACCATGTCAAGGTTGGTTCTACTTAGAAGATAACGGAAGTTAATGGCTGAAGGTGTGTTGCGTTTTGACGTCCCACCAGATGTCATGGCTGTTGTCTATGAGCTTTATATTCAAAATTCGATAAAAATAAATAATATAGAGAGTTTTGAGGGTACAGACTCAGGTTTCGTCAACTGTCATAAATCAATTTTGTAAAACGGCCGAACGTGTATAATGAATGAGTGAATGAATAAAGGCTTTATTTACATTAACTTTACATTTCCAAAGAAAAAGCTAAATTGACAATGGCCTTAGCCGTCTGTCGAGTTGCTTTATCAATTTTTGTATCTTTAGAATGAACTTTGATTTTAAAAATTGAATTGGTCAACCAGGTATTTTCGGTACCTCAGGGTGTGAGTGAGGTACATCACAAGCTTCCTCCAGTTATCCCTTCCGTTGAGGATTGCAATGACTTCTTCTACATCCAGCTTCAGTTTCCCAAAGTACCTTTGGCGGAACTCTCTCAGAACAGGGCACCCTCCCATGAAGTGGAGAGTGTCCCCCGGGACGTTGAGGTTACATAAGGAGCAAATGATGGCGCGGTCCTCTCTCCAAGGTTGGCAGTTCAGCTGAAGTAATTCACCCCTCGCCCTCAAGACCAGAGACACCTCATAGGCTGTCATATCAGAGCACTCCATGTAGTTTCGCCCTAAGTGAAAATCCAGTCTTGCGTACAAGGTGTGATGTAAGCTGTTTCTCGCGCGGGTTACCAGGTCTTTCCTTTTGCTCTCTTCCCCTTTTTTTTTATCAGGTCCGTGGTATTAGAGGACTTCAGTTCTTCCCTACTTACTCCTACACCGTACAGCCTATCAAACTCTGACAGCTGCTTGTGCCATAATATCCCTTTATTTATTACTACGTAGGCCAAAAACTGCGTCAGTCTGTCAAGTGTGTGATTCAGTATTTTACTTATATATTTCAAATGCAGGCTCAAAGTGTGACTGAAGAGTGGTGTGACCGAGCACTCAATATATAGGATGTAGTCTGGGGTACTAGTTGGCAGGCAGAACGTGTATAATTTGCAGAATTAGGAATCAGCGCCTTGCCTCACCCTGCTTATAACCCTTAATACCTCACAAAGGAAGGCAGCCTGGCAGTTGTATAAAAAAAATACACTATGTAAACGACAATAAAATTACGAGGCGAACACTGGATATTTTTGTACAACACTTAATAAATTAAACCATTGAGGTTTAGTGGCAATAAATTGGAAAGCTTTGTTGCGTTTTAAGCTTATTTCAGATGTCAGAGCTAGATGTATAAATTTTATTGGAGTATTATGACTTGATCCTGGATTTATATGCAATAAATTCAACGAACACGCCATATAATATGCACTAAAATATAAAAATATGCAGATTGAATGTCAGAGACAATAATTGACTAATATTTGTATAATGTCTTTTTAATATAGGCATTTTTTTGGTCTAGTACATATTCATTTTGAAAGGAAATAGAACAGAAAATATTCAGACACGAGAAATCACATTATTAGAAAGAGGACTGACAGAAACTATGTGTTTTAAATAAGGTTCCTATATTTTTCCATATAATTTTTCGGAAAAGAAAAAAATACACCCTCACGTTTTGGAAATGGGGGAAATAAGATGCCGGTTATTTCAAGATGCGAATCAATAATAAAAGTAGGAAGTTTATGGGCCGACAAACAGCTGAGGTCATCGCCGGCCCTCTGCGTGTTTTCTTTCTTTTTCGTTTCTTTCGCGCATATTTTGCTTTAAACTGCAGCCATTTGTGCGTCTCGATCTGGTTACTGACTCTCTGTTTCAAATGTATACTACGTAGATATCCTAGAATGCTAGTCTCTCGGTTGTACCTGAGGTTGTCAAATACAGAATAGAAACAAAACATACAATACACACACACACACACACACACACACACACACACACANAAGAACATTGCTTTAAAGTAACTAGTTTCTTTTTTTTTGTTTAATACCAAAATCCTGCATTATTTTCCGGACAACCCAATATATATATATATATCACCACAAACATAGATGTCTTGTCACATTCACTTCCCCAGAGTACTCGATATTCCTTTCACGCTAATAAATTACTTTTACTCTCCAGACGTCATACACTCACCCTAGAGTACTTGATATTCCTCGGGGCGGGGTTAAATCACCCCTTGCTTTCATGCAAGTAATTACATTCATTCCAATTAATTAACATAAAGTCAAACACAAACACATAAAACTATATGCATTTAACAATCCCTATAGCCCTGAGGTACCGGAACAGCGATCTGTGCTCGCTACCGTGCTCCAAGACTACGCACAGGTCCGATAATATGCCAAAATATTGTCTATATTCATCTGCGAATCAAATTTTAGGCTCTCATCTTATTCCTCTCTTGTTCTGAGGTGTCTATTTTATTTTATTTGTCTAAGTAATAAAAAAAATTCAAATTTGCAATATTCTTCAAATATGCAAATTTATTTAGAATAAAATTTAAACTATTGTAAAACAGAGGTACGATTCGGATAAATGTCTGATCATGGTGGTCGTAAGTGTTAGATCTAATTATGATGAATTGGCCTAAAACAAGATTACCAGATTCGACAAACTGAAACAAAACCAGCATCTTGCCTCACCCTGCATATATTCCAGTCGTAGCGACATCAGAAGATAGTGTTTTCAAATTAATACGTTGACATTTTATTTAAATTGGCAACACTTAGAAACTTAAGTGTAAGAAAATGAAACCTTTTGTTTCACTAGTTTCGTGGTCCGCTTGACCAATTAATATCTTTCAATTAATTAAGGTTTTTAGTTGAGATAAAAAAGTCAATGGCACGAGCGGGATTCGAACCCCCATGAAAAATGACAAAAAGGAGGGAAAATTCAAAAGGTGGGCTTGATATGGAGAGTTGGTGTCCGAGAGGATCGAGGTCACGATAGCTCAAGTGGTGAGTAGCGGCGTATCTAGCCGAAGGTCGTGGGTTCGAATCTCGCTCGTGCCATTGACTTTTTTATCTCAACTAAAAACCTTTTGTAAATGTTTAAAACTGTATTTTTTAGACCTGAAAATTGGGTATTTTGTTTTTAAAAAAGGTTCTTTCAGGTTAATTAATATGTCTGTATTCTGCAAATGGTGGTTGTTACATCATTTTCATGATCATAGAAAACTGTATTTTGTCTTCGTCAAAATGAGATTGTTTTTCTCATAAATTATAAATTCATCATAAACTTATTCTCGCCATCCGGTGGTTTTCTAAACAACTACCGTTTAAATTTCAAGTAAAAAAAAAAATAAATAAATAACGCTCTCATTTTGTCATCACGTTTAGAAAAAAAAAGGATCATTGGGCTTAGAATAGACTTAATCTGTCCCACCCTACCAACTAAACAACATTGAACGAAAATATGGGGGTCTTAAATTTAAAGAAAAAAGACCTGAAACTAATTTTAGTCGTTGTATTATACCAGATCATTTGTGCAAACATTTTTGATACTTAGAAGCGGCAAGATTAAAAGATTAACGAAGCTCACGTTGAAAAAACAAACGTAAGTTTGTAAAACATTTTTAGGCAGTAAACAACGCATGGTGGATAAAAGATAAGATAAGAATTTGATGTGTTGTAATAAATAAAAAGTGCAGGACCGTCCTATCAAATTAGATCAGTCAATTGCGAGGTAATAAAAGCCGTTTAATTTCCTGTGAAACGTCCGAATGTTGCAATAACAATCGCTTAAAGGCCTTTTTCACAATGTCATTTCCAGGCGTCGTCCTTGCTAGAATCGATCAACACCGACGCGTAAATCACGCAAAACTAAAACCAAAACAGCAAAAACAAATAGAAAACGAAACTACACGAAAGGTCGCGGATAATCCTCGTGTTTTTGTCCGACGCCTTCGTACAGTCTACGTCCAACTTATGCAAATAATCCTAGATTTTAATTCTAACTACCAATAAAAGAAAATACAATAAATAAACAACACGGGTGGAAAAGAGGAAATATGTTGTAAAAGTCAAAAGCTTAAGATATGAATGATGACATTGACCTTCGAAGGCCGGCGAATCTTCTCTTCCACTCTATCAAGACCCAAAGTTTCAAAGGATCCCTAAATGAGCTTGGCAATACGATCTAGCTTATCCTAGCCATCTGATTTAAAACCACAAAGCCACATAACTACATATCTTTCATAATTTCAAGAAGTTCAATATTTCATACTAACGTTTCACATTAATTAAATGCTTGAAAAACATGTGGTCGCTGAACTCTCCCCAAAACTCTTGGAAAGACGGAAAGAATTGTAATTTTAAAATTTGTAAACATCGGCATTGCACGATTATTAAAAAATAAATAAAAAATTGTAATTTATTAGCGTGAATGGAGGGATTATTCCCAATTATCCCATGGAATATCGAGAACTCATGGGTAGTGTGAATGCTAACACCGGACTACCATGTTTTTGTACTACCATGTTGTTGAGAGAGAGAGAGAGAGAGAGAGAGAGAGAGAGAGAGAGAGAGAGAGAGAGAGAGAGAGAGAGAGAGAGAGAGTGAGAGAGAGAGAAAGTCAGAAAGACTGACAGACTGACAGACAAACTGGAACAAGAAAAGAAAATCAGATTGCATTGAGAACAATGAAAGGGAGAGAGAGAGAGTGAGAAATGAGAGATAAAGAAAAGGGAGAGTTGTCTACCGCTGTATCATAAAATATCAAAACTTGGCTGGCAAAACAGTAAAAGAAATTAGTATGTTTAAAATGCGAGAAAAATAAGAAAAGCTAGTAAAGAGAGGACTGGCGAAGACGAA